GCATCCCAAGCGAGTTCTTAACCATCGCGCCACTGGGCCGGCCCCAGAGTATCCTGTTCTTAACAAGGCCTGACCTCAGAAGAAACTAGTTAACCAGAACCTAACCTGCTGGGGTTTTATCAGAGCCTGACTGACCTAAACAAAGAGAAATTCCCAATCCCAGCCTGCTCAAGCTCTCCTATCCCACCTAAGAAGGTCGGAGGGGAGGAAAACTGAGAAGCAGTTGTGAAGTTCACAGTCCAGGGGCACAAGCTCACCTAAGACTGAGACCTAATCATAGGATCACAGAACAACCCCGCCCTCACATCTTACTAATATGTTATGAAAGGCCTACTTAACACAGCTCCTTTTACTCGGTACATCATGAGTGAGTACCTTTGAACAACAACAAAAAATTATAAGGCATGCTATCAGGAAAACACACACACACACAGACAACACACAACACACAACACACACACACACACCACTCAAGCACATACACACACCATTCGCGTGCGCACGCACACACATACACACAGTTTGAGTAGACTGAACAAGCATCAGAACTAGAGTCAAATATGGCAGGAGTGTTGGAATTATCAGAACAGAACATTTTAAAAGCTGGGATTATTATGCTAAGGGTTTTAATGGAAAAAGTGGAAAACATGCAAGATTAGATAGATAACATAAGCAGAGAGATGGCATATCTAAGAAAGAATAAAGAAGAAATGCTAGAGGTGAAAAACAATGTAACAGAAATACAGAATGCCTTGGTGGGCTTATCAGTAGACTGGAAGCAGCAGAGGAAAGAATCTCTGAGTTTCAAGATATGACAATCTTCAAAACTGAACAGCAAAGAGAAAAAGACTGAAAAAAATAGAATATTCAAGAACTGTGGGACTGATAAAATGTGTAACACATATGTAATGGCAATACTATAGAAGCAATAATGACTGGAAATTTCCCTGAATTAACATCCCACATTAAACCATAGATCCAGAAAGCTCAGAGGACAATAAGCAGGATAAATATAAAAAATCCGGCACCTAGACATATCATATTCAAATTCAGAAAATCAGAGCCCTGAAAGAAGCTGGGGAAGAGGCGGGGGGCATACATGACCTGTAGAGGAACAAAGATAACATCCTGCTTCTCCTCAGAAACCATGCAAGCAAAAAGAGAGTGAAGTGAAATATTTAGTGTTGAGAATAAAAAGCAACTAAACTAGAATTCTCTATCTTGTGAAATTAAACTTCAAAAGTTAGGGGGAAATAAAGACTTTCTCAAGCAAAAATTAAGAGGATAAATAGAATAAAACTGTCTCTTTGTTCACAGATGACATGATCATCTCCATTGAAAATCCAAAAGCACCAGCAAAAAACTCCAGATACCAAGTATAACAAGATTATTGAATTCAAGGTTAATATACAAAAGTCAACAGATTTCCTGTATAACAACAATAAACAAGAGGCATTTGAATTTAAAAACACAATGTTATTTACATTAGCACCCCCAAAATTGAATAACTTAGGTATAAATCAAACAAAATGTGTACAAGATCTATGAGAAAAGCCACAAAATTCTGATGAACGGAATCAAAGAACTAAATTAATGAGATATTCTATGTTCATTTATAAGAAGACCCAATATTGTCAAAATGTCAGTTCTTCCTAACTTGATATATAGATTCAATGCAACCCCAATCAAAATTCCAATAAGCTTTTTTGTGGCTATCAACAAACTAATTCTACAGTATATATGGAGAGGCAAAAGACTCAGAATAAGCAACCCAACATTGAAGAAGCACAAAGTATGTGATTCAAGACTTACTCTGAAGCTACAGTTATGAAGACAGTGTGATATTTGTGAAAGGATAGACAAATAGATCAATAGAACAGAACAGAGACCCAGAAGTAGATCCATGTAAATATAGTCATCTGATCTTTGACAAAAGGAACAAAGGCAATACAATGGAGAAAAGATAGTATTTCAACAAATGATATTGGAACGACTGGACATACAGAATGATGGGACAGCCACATACAAAAGAATGAATGTAGACACAGACTTATACCCTTCACAAAAATTAAATGGATCACAAACCTAAATGTAACATGCAAAATTATAAAACTCCTAGAATATAACATAAGAGAAAACCTAGGTGACCTTGGATATGGCAGTGACTTTTTGATACAACATAGAAGGCACAATCCATGAAAAAAAAAAGACTTTAATCAAGCTGGACTTGATTAAAATTAAAAACTTCTGCTGTGTTAGACAATGTCAAGAGAATGAAAAGACAAGCCAAAGACTGGGAGAAAATGTTTACAAGAGACACAGTTGATAATGGACTGTTACCCAAAATACACAAAGAACTCTTAAAGCTCAGCAATAAGAAAATGAACAGCCTAATTAAAAACATGTGCAAAAGACCTGAACAAACTTTGACTAAAGAAAATACACAGAATGCAAGTAGGCATATGAAAAGATGTTCAACATTATGTGTCATTAGGGAATTGCAAATTAAAGCAATGAGATACCACTACACACCTATTATTTTATTTATTATTTTTTTAAAATTTTTATTGGGGAATTGGGGGGATGGGAACAGTGTTGGGGAATCGGGGGAAGGGGAACAGACAAGTTGCTGTCGTTTTGTTCTTCAGTCTAGTTGTGGAGGACGTTGCTTCACTGGCCCAAGTTGGCACCATCATTGCGCTCTTCCCGGGTGAGGCAGATCAGTCGCCAGCTTCTGGATGGCCTCTCACTGCGGCTGCTGGCCGCTCACGCTGGCTGCTGGCTACACACAGTAGCCCATGGCAACCCACTGCCACAGGAGCTGCAGCCTACGCTGCCACAGGGACTGCAGCCTACGCCGTCGCCGGCAACTCACAGCAGCCCAGCTCCAGGTTGAGCTGTTGTTCAGCATCTTAGCTGTGGAGGGCAGTGTCACTGGCCCTCATATGTGGGATCCGAACCGGGCCCTCTGGCATCCCAAGCCAGCTCTTAACCATTGCGCCACTGGGCCGGCCCCACCACTACACACCTATTATAATGGCCCAAATCCAAAACTGGAAATACCAAGGACTAGCAAGTATGTGAAGCAACTGGAATTCTCCTTTATTGCTGGTGAGAACAAAAAAAATGGTACAGCCTCTTTGTCAGACAGTTTGGCAATTTCTTACCAAACTATACATACTCTTATTATATTATTCAGCAACCACACTCCTTGGTATTCATCCATATTAATGAAACTTATGTCCACATAAAACCTACACATGGATGTTTATAGCACCTTTATTCATAATTGCCCAAATTTGAAAACAACCAAGATGTCCTTCAGTAGAAGAATGGGTAAATCAACTGTATAGTACATCCAGACAATGGACCATTATTCAGTGCTGAAGAGAAATGAACTGTTAAGCCATTAAAAGACATAGAGTAAATCTAAATGCATGTTACTAAGTAAAAGAAGCTTGTCTACAAAGGCTCTATGCTGTATGATTCCAACTATATGACATTCTGGAAAAGGCAAAACTATGGAGATGGGAAAAAAAGAAAAGTCTATGGTTACCAGGAATTGGTCAGGAGGGAGTGATGAATAGGTGGAGTGCAGGGGATTTTTAGGGCAATAAAACTATTCATTATGATGGTACAATGGTGGGTACATGTGATTATATATTTGTCAAAACCCATATATTTGTACAACACCCTGAGTGAGCCCTAATGTAAACTATGGACTTTGGGTGATAATGGTGTGTCCATGTTGGTTAGTTGTAACGAACGTGCTACTGTGGTTTGGGATATTGATAGTGGGAGAGGTTGTATATGCATGGGGACAGAGAGTATAGGGGAACCCTCTGTACTTTCTGCTCAGTTTTGCTGTGAATATAAAATTGTGTAAGATGTAATAAAAAATGAAATGGTGTGGCTGAGTTGTCTAATGAAATATTCTGGTGAAAAGAAATCAACAAAATTAATTTTTCAAAAATTTTAAACATATTGCCATAAAACTACAAAATATAAAGAAGCATGCAGTTTATTTTCATATGGATTTACAATTGGATTTACAACTTACATAATAAAAGACAATAATAAATTTTTAGTTCTTTTTTAAAAAGGTGGGGAGGGGAAGGATTTCAGGTGGTATTAGCAATTGAGACAAAACTGAAACACAAAACAAGTTTTGCAGATGTTGCCAGGAAGTTAAGCAGAATTTAAAGGAAATTTGAACTGACATGTGAGGCAAGGGTTATGATTTAAGGTTCAGACTTGACTATGTTTTATTCTGCAGTTTGAACTGAGTGGAATTAAGCAGTATGATGAGGTGCTTTTAATTTATTTTTCAGATATGTAACCTTTCAGCTGAGAAGATACATATGAAACCAGAACCATCCTGAAAACTATGAAGAAATGATCCTTACATTCAAAGGAAAACAATGTAGAGAGTAAACAATTATTAACAATTTCTACTGGGAGCTTAAAGCAGATTCTTTTTCTCTTCCTGTTTTTATTTTTCCTTATCATTCACACAGAGTTCTTCTGTTATTTTCTTCTTGAATAGTGTTAGTGGGCTGATGACATAAAAGTGTGAAGTGCTAACGTGATGGAATTATCAGAAAAGATACTGTCCTTAGTTATATTTATTCTTATTTGGAGATTAGTACACAAACCATTTTCAATTTTTTTCTTTAAACCTCACTCACCATCTAGAGCTGTATAGAAAATGCTTAAATTCATTCATGTAGTCATTCATTCAATGATGATTTATTAAGCACTTATTATGTGCCACATGCTATTCTCAATATAATACTAAGCAAAAGAATCACTTTGCCCTCATGGAGATTACTGTTGACTGGAAGAGATGAACGTAAATCAAATCATCATATACGATGATAAAAGCTAGGAAAAGGCAAAGTGTACGAGGGCATAAGAATTCTGCTTTGGGAAGTCACAGAAAAACTCCCTATAGAAGTGAAAATTAAGCTGAAGGCAAAGCATAAATAGAAGTTATCTGGTGGAAGAGGACAGAAAAGAGCATTCTAGGCAGAAAATATTTAGTTAAATATGTTGACATAGACAGGGCTTAATATGAGTTTACTGTCAACATATAAAAGTAAAGAGTAGAATAATTGCTTACCCAAATGCTACAACTAACTTTACATTAAATATGTATTCCAAACTCCAAAATTATTAAGTTCACTCTATTAGGGAAATGAGATCATGAGTGGGTCTCTTTTCCGTGTCTTCCCTGTTTTTCTAAATATAGTTAAAATACTTTTATATAATAGGAGTATTTTACAAAAATAAAAAAGATCATTGTTACCTATACTGTGTTTACCAAACAGCTTGTATCTTTACTTTTTTATTAAAGAAAAAAAATGTTTATCATTCACCTTATTTTCAATCAGTATAAATTGATTTTTCTAAAAAATTCTACGTTCTTTATAAAGCCCCCATTTATAACTTATGCCATTCTTGTCACAGAGGACAGCCTTATAAGGGAAGAGGATGATGTGCCCTGCGAGGGACCTCTCGACCAGTCAGAATGCTCATTATCAGTCCAATTATCCGCTGATAATTGGCCTGCCTGTGGGAATAATAGGCTGGGATGATTTAACTCACTGCCGACATATTCACAGCATCCTACACACTGCATTCAAAACTTCTTAACTTTTCCTTAAATAATGGAAGAATCTAATTCTAGCTGTTAGAATATTTTATTTGCTCAACATTGAACTTCCTGTGAACACGGAAGAACCACTCTGCTGAGACTCAGGGAATGCCCCCTGTTTGTACTAAACTTCACAATGTTGGCAATAAATCTCCCATAATGTCCAGCTTTCTTATTTTGTCTGTATACCATATTCTTCAAAAAGACAAGTCTCCCTTCTTGGACTCGGTGAAATTTAGTCATAGGATAACACTCAAAGAATGGAGTCACTTGGCTTGTAAATGCTTACCAGCATTTCAACACTTCTAGATGGCTGGCTGATGTCCAAATGAGTCTACGGAATGGCCAAGGAGAGGAATTGTGATGGAATTTTACAGAGTGATAGGGTATTTGCTTTTGTGTGTTTCTTGAGATAATTAAGTTGAATTAAGTTACACTCACGGGACCGTGTTTTAAAGTTTCCAATTTGAGCTTAAAATGTCGGGTTTTTTTGTTGTTGTTTTTTAAGTCTTGTGCTCCTGAAAATTTGTTAGCGGGATGGGGATGTTTTCATCCTTTAGGTCTCTCTCTTCTTTTTTTAGTTGCATAAATTTATTTGTTTAATAAATAGTTCACACACTGGCCAGAAACCAAGTGGACAAATTGTACTCACTAACCCTTTAATACTTGGCTCCTTTGTCTAATAACCCAGCCCATTATTAGATAATGAAAGAGTGTATGAGAAAGTGGAGATTATTTATGATGGAAACAAAATGAAACTAATGGGACAAGATTTGAAAGCTGTGATGCATGAAAGGTGCTATGCAGGCCGCTCTGGCACCATGACAAACAGAGATAAAGGCTCAGTGGGAAGCAGCAGTGTGAACATGACTATGAAGAAAATAGAATGGATTTCCTGAATGAAGCCGTGCCATCTGGTGTTTGTTTAATACACAATAAAGGTCAAATGGCTACTGATCCTTTTTTCTATAGTCCAGTGACTATAAGAATGAGAGGAATCAATGAGTTTATCGATATGTCTGGAAATAACTCACCATATGATCTGATTGAGTCAATAAAACTGAAGTAACTTGTCATTGCTCTTCAGATTTGGTTTGGATCTATGGCTACAATTCTGTGTATACACACACACACACACACACACAATTTGCTGGATCAAATGTGACTCATATTTTTTTCAAGAGTAATGTTTGGAAGCATTTCAGTTTCTAGATATGTAGGCATAAAAGGAACGGGCAGAAGGAAAGCTTTTCATCAAGTTGAATGTTTCCCCTATTATCAAATAGACCTGTTAAACATTCATGTCTTGATTGGTGGTGGATTAAAGAAATTTATTTTTTTTTGTTTCCCTTTTCTATGTACGCAATTGATTACACACCAATTTTATGTAATGATTCTTAGGGGACATATTAGCTTTTAGTGAAATATGTTTATTAAGCATTATATGTAAACAGCATGCACTTTGGGAATGTCACATGTAAGTTGAACATATTATTTTCTGTAGCATCCTCTTTTCTTCAGGTCGTTCCAGTAATGCACTTCCACGGTCTGATCCTGAAACTCTGACCTTCCTGCTGAAGTTGCAGGGTTTTCTGTTGAGTTCTTTTCTAAAGACTAAAATAAAAGACACTTTTCTCACATTAATATTTCTCAGCTGCCATGAAAACAGGGATAGGAGAAGCCAAAAATAGAGGAGCCAGCTGTGGGAGGCTGCTTTTTTTTTTCTTTTTCAGGACAACTCAGAAAAGTCTTTCAAATTCATTTTATAGATAGTGTGTTAATGCAAATAGTGTTTCACGCGCCTGCGTGCTATACTTTAAAAGCTGGTATGCACTCAATTGTGATACAGTGAATGTTATCTGACTGTTGTGGCAGCAGTACAATTGTTAAGATTGTCTCTGGGGTAGATCCATTTAGTATTCTTTCTATCTTCTCTTTTTGAAAAGACTTTACTGAAGCTGGTTAATTAAAATAAGAGTGGGGCGATTATGAAAATAATTCTCTTATTCCTGAAGTGGACGCAGTGTGTTTTATTCCAGATGCCACATATTTTGTTGATGATTTGACTTTTTCGCTGGGAGTATAAAAGTATTACATGCTCCCCTGACTTTATAAAAAACAAAATAATAATCACCCGTCATGCCAGTGTGCTGAGGCACCATGTTTAACACATTGGCCTCTTTATTTTTTCAATCCATTTTTTTCTTTACTTAACTGAGATAATACTGTAAATACAATTTTATAACTTGATTTTTTTTTTGCTTAATATTTCATTCAAGTATTTCGTGTTCATGAAATGTTTCCTGATACCCCCATATCCAGGTAGACCGGCTACCCGCTTCCTTTGTGTTCCCGCTGTGCTGTGATATGTATTCTAACATAGTACCTTTATTATTGATTTGTTGTTGACCAACTGTAAGAGCATAGAAAGGAAGGGCCAACACTTTCTATGTCTTTTGCAATATCAAAAATAAGAGGCTACTGATTAAAGGTATAGGCCACAACAGATGTTCACCTGATAATTAGAATTGACTGTCTACTGGGGGTATTAAGACAGAGGATGAAAACAACAGAAATTTTGTAAAAGTGTTTCCTGTAGTTGGTAGGAATTTGGATTCTATAACATCCTTAAAACTTCAAGATACTAAAATTTCAAGATGCTAATATTCTATTTGGTCGGCAGATTAACTGCTTAATGACTAGGCATGCCTAGCCCTGAAGTGTAAAGCCAGTGAATTTGTATGGTTCATTGCTGGGTAGAAAATGACATTGGCTTTTATGGTCAAGTGGCCATCATTTTATTTAAATTAGCATCATTTATTTTATATATATATATTTTTTCAGCTTTATCGAAATATTACTGACATTTAACATGCAAGCTTAAGATGTACATGATGTTTGTATATACATATATACTGTGAAATGATTACCACAATAAAGTCAATCACATAATTACCTTTTTTGTGTGTGTGATGGGAGCTTTTAAGATTTACTTTCTTAACAACTTGCAACGATACAATGCAGCGTTGTTAAAGCAATGTTGATAATTGTAGTCACCATGCTAGATACCCCGAACTTCTTCATTTTATATTTCCCTTATCTCCTTATTTCCCCTATCCCCTGTGTGGGGCTTTGTTAGATTCCATATATAAGTGAGAACATACAATATTTGTCTCTATCTGACTTATTTTACTTAGCATAATGTCATCAATGCCCATGCATGTTGTCACAAAAGACAATATTCCTTTTTTATGAAGCTGGCCATTAATTAAAGGGTCATATACATTCACCAGGCCTCAGAGGACTTTGGGCAGCGGATGCTAGCAAGGTAGGTTGACAGGGTGACTGGGCTGTGGGTGTTCTACTTATGCTTTGAGATAACTGGGGCTTACGATGCCTAAGATACAGAAATGACTTTCGGGTTTAATTGCCTTGAATTTTCTCAAGGTGAAGGGTGCAATAGAAATGTCAAAATGTGAGTACTGTTATTATATTTTCTGTATCAACCAATAGCTTTCCCTCTTATGACTCATTTATTCAAAAGTTGGCATAAAACGAAAAAGCAGTTCTATATTCAAACTTTGAATAAAGAAAAAGTAAATTTGAGATTTATTCAGCATAAATAAATTTCATCATATATAGCTTCTTCAAATTTATGCATTTTAATTTTGTGGCTATTTTGCCTGCTGTTCTTTTTGAAAGAAAAAAATATATATGTATATACACATATTGTTTTAACAGACGGATGTTGGGATTATGCAAATAGCTAGTAATTTTAACTCTAGGAAATCTTTGTCTTTACTATGCTTGCTTGTCATTTTTTAGGATGTGATTCATTAGATAAAAATATGGTTCTTCATCTTTTTCTATGTCTCTTTTTCCTTTGAATAATAAAGACTGACATTAAAAAATACAACTCCCTGAAGAAATAACCTGATATCAAACTCTTGGCAAAAATATTTGCATGAATCATTGGATTCTAGAAATACTCTATGACCTACAAATGCTTCACTCTTACTAAAGACACTACCTTCTCAGAGTTGGTTTTCCATTTTCTTCCACAAGTCTTGATACCTAGTAAAATCTAAGAAGAACTTTTTGTGGTGTTAAGTACATTAAGTAGTTCATCGTTTCCCATAAAAACCAATTCTAAGAGAAAGATAGTTGATTTCTACTTATGAGATTGAACTTTTATCAAAACTGACACCTGTTTCCTTAAGCCCATCTGAAAAAAAATCTATATCTGGAATATGGATTATTAATGTGTCACATTGAAAAGCCACAAAGATTATCAATTATATTTTAGAATACCACTTATTTCATTTATTTGAATGACTTGTACTCTTATGCCTCCATGTGTAAATATTTTTAGGGTTATATTTTCTAGAAATGTGTCTATACAAGATACATCAGAATATACTTTTTAGTCTAATTATTATTATTATTATTATTATTATTATTATTATTATTAATTTCACCCCTGGGTTAGGCCCAAAAGCTGAAAGTTCCATGGTTTTTTTGCCCTGGGAGAAATTATCAGTAATGAAATTTGATTACTTTTCTTATAGTTCTGTGCAACCTGACCTTTGAAGTGGTTGCTGATGATTCTGTGGTTGGAAGGAGAAAGACTGCTGAGGAGAAACGGTTGGAAGGAGAAAGGTTTAGCTGATTAGAACTAACGTGGTGAATACTGGACATGTAGTATGGATAAACCTGAATATCAACCCAGGATTTTTACAAATTACATTTGAATTCTTTGACTCACCTAGAAATTGTCAGACTCACCTAGTCTAGCAACTATTAAACCTTAATCCATTTATTTTACATTTTTTAGAACTGAGAAATGGATAGGAAAATCAGTGGTGTTGAGAAGTATTTGAATACCGTAGGCCTTTAATGAAACTCTACTGAAATTGTTATAACTAATATCAAACAAACCTTTATTTAAAAAATATGTCTATTTTTTAAAATATAAGATTTGGTGCACTTCATTTAATTTTTTAAATTCTTATAAAAAAGCCCTTCAAAGTAAAATAGTAGCTCAAATATCTTGAGCTACTATTTGACACTCCTCTGTGCTGTGGTGTAAGATTCTTGCTTTATGAATATTGAGAGTGTGGAAATGTGATAACCTAATAAACAAGGATGCACTTTCCCTTTGCTCTGAAATTCCATTTTTCCTCTTAATTGTACTGACATAATGAATTTCCTGCATATTTTTAAAACAAAATATTAAAAATCACTGTCTCAAATGCAAAAAATATATGCGTGTATCTATTATTGTATATTCTAATACTCTCCTAGGTAGTGAGTTGAGAACTTGGTAAGTAATATATCTCGCCAAAAAAATCATTTTGCTCAACCTTTAGACATACTCTCCCAAGAGCTTTGTTAGAGGGGAGGATAAATCTTATTTTACGCTGAGATTGAAATGAAGGATATTCCTCTTTGGAAAAACTACACACACACTCTCTGGATCTTTGTTTGCCTGATGTTTGCCCAGCTAGGGCCCCACCTAACGGGCAAGCAACAAAACAAACAGGACATTCTAAGAGCACAAAAGATTTGAGTAGAAAGATGGCCAGAGAGAATCAGATAATTAACCCCAAGAAGCTGGGTTCAGTGCCTTTATTGGGGAGATTAGAGAGATAAAATAAGGTCATTTATCTTGTATAGGAAAAGAAAGAGGGGTCAAGAACTTAGAAACATGGAGAGGGAAGAGTAGGAGAAAGACAGGGTGCTACTCTTCATTTCCTGCTCTGTGACAAAGGTCAAAATGATGGCACTTCTGAACTTTGAAGAGATGATCTTCCTTTATTGAGATTAAGTTCCCAAAGTCATATTCACTGAACTTCCTAAAAGTAGCAATGGACATTTCAGAATGAACTTCTAAAGCACAAGCGTTCTTGAATCCATGCTGAGTTTCCCAGCTGAACTAAGCAGTAGAGAACTATCCTGAATAATCCATTTGACCAAAACTGTATCAAGAAATATGGCCTATGGACAACTTTTAAGGCTTTAACTTCTCAAAATGTCAAAAGTCATCCATTACACATAAAAATAACATATCTCACCCAAATATACCAACAGTATCTATTCAATAATGTCAATTTAAATTCAGAGAGGTAATGATTTTTCTTTTCTATGTAATGTATCTCTTTTCACCTAGAATGTCACAGGTATGAATTTTTTTTTGCAGGTGGGGGGGGCACAATTTTAGAGAGTACAAGCATTTTCTTATAATAATTCTTCCACAATTCCATGGAGGATCCCATGGACATGCAATCCAAATAGTATATGAAGGAGAATATTCTGTTTGATTTAAAGAACAATTCTCACTCTGACCATTATTTCATTTTGCCTCTTTCATTTTTTGCATTTTATTTTTTTACTTTCAATATTTTATATTAATTTTAGCATAGTGGTGTACAACATATGTTTAGAAATTTATATAATTTACTTAGCAATCCCCCTGACTAGTACCTACCTGGCACTATACATAGTTATTACGATATTATTGATTATATTCCTTATGCTTTACATCACTATGACTACTTTATAACTACTCATTTGTATATGTTAATCCCGTCACCTTTTTCACCCTCTCCCAATTCCCCTCCCATCTATCACCCCAATAGATCTAGTACCCATCTGACACCATACATAGTTATTACAATATTATTGACCATATTTCTTATGCTATACCCTATATCCCCATGACTACTGTGTAACAACCAATTTGTACTTCTCAATCCCTTCCCCTTTTTCATCCACTCCCAACCTCCTTCCACCTGGCAACCATCAAAATGTTCTCTGTATCTATGAGGTGTTTTTTGTTACATTTATTTTGTTCTTTAGAGTCCACTTATAAATGAAGTCGTGATATTTGTCTTTCACTGTCTGACTTACTACACTTAGCACAATATCTTCTAGATGTATCCATGTTGTCACAGATGGCAAAATTTTATTCTTTTTATGGTGGAGTAATATTCCATTGTATATACATACCACTTCTTTATCCATTCATCCATTCAGGGACACCCAGATTGCCTTCATATCTTGGCTATTGTAAATAATGCTATAATGAACATATGGATGAACATGTCCTCTCAAAGTAGCATTTTGAGTTTCTTCGAATAAATACCCAGAGGTGGGATTACTGGGTCCTTCTTTGTCTCTTGTTATAGTATTTGTTTTAAAGTCTATTTTGTCTGGTATAAGTATCGTACCCCAAATTTTTTGTTTGTTTCCATTTTCATGAAATATCTTTTTCTATCTCTTAATTTTCTGTCTGTGTGTGTCTTTTGATCTGAACTGAGTCTCTGGTAAGCAGCATATGTAAGAATCTTGTTTCTTATCCATTCAGCCCCCCTTTCTTTTGATTGGAGCATTTACTCCATTTACATTGAAAGTAATTGTTGATAGATACGTAGTTATTGCCATTTTATTAGTTATATCTATCTATCTATCTATCTATCTATATATATATATTTTTTTTTTTCCTTCTCCAGTCCCTCTAAGATTCCTTGTTTTTTCATGGTGATGAACACTTAGCTTTTGCTTGTCTGGGAAGCTCTTTATCTTCCCTTTAATTCTAAATAACAGCTTTGTTGGGTAGAATAATCTTTGTTGTAGGTTCTTGCTTTTCATTGCTTTGAATATTTCCTGCCAATCCCTTCTGGCCTGTAAAGTTTCTGTTGAGAAATCAACTCATGGTCTTATGGGAACTCCCTTGCTGCTTTTAATATTATCTCTTTGTCTTTAACCTTTGGCATGTTAATTATAATGTGTCTTGTGGTGTG